CGCCGAAGCTTACAGGGAGTACACTGAATGTGTGTGGTTGGGAAAAGTTAACCTACCCATGCAGGTGAGTGCGACTATGTGTCTCTTAAGTCAGGTGAGTCTCCACTTATAATATTTTTCCTTATCCTGACTCATGCTCTTTTGCTTGTCTTCTTCTTCTTGTGAACATAGTGGAACACTTGTATCCCCCTAATTGAAGCTCCCTTCAATGTAGAATCACTAATAAATACTCACCACGAGTTGCCTCCCTTTGCCTCTGCGCGGGAAAGGTGGCGCCACCCTCTGGCCTCATGCTTCACTCTCTCCTTCTTCGCCCAGTGAGCAGGATGTGAGAGCGCCTGTGTCTCCCTGCACACTATATCCTTTGATTATTCTTAGTTATTTACCTCTTATTAGTTACTAAAGAGGTGTAGCTAGTATCCTTCATTAATATGGATTGATAATTTTTCGTAATTCTACTAATTATTCACGGGATTCCGTGTTTGTTCAGCTAAGTTTACATTGATGAAAATCTGTACTGTTTGTAGATTACGTTTTTCTGCTGCTGACCCGCATTTAATATGCCCTAGCTGTACTACGCCTTGTGCATTTTCTTCACGTTGCAGTTATTGTATTAATCTATCCATTTCTGCATTTAATAAATATCATTTTTGCGTCTTGAGACGTGCAGCAGACAGGTCACGCAAACAAGCTTTAGTCATGGCCGATACATCGGACCCCCTAGCCAGTCAGCTGCTGTCGGACGACCCCCTCCCGTCTGGTGTTCCGCTAGAGTTTCCCTCGGAGGAGGGGCGTGGGATGCAGTCCGCCATCTCCAAGAAGCATCCTGCTTCCCCAGACATCCCGTCATCGCAGCAAAAGTCTAAGAGGGCCTCGACTTCTTCACAACGTAGACTCCGTACCCCCAGGGCAGCGTCTACCTCCAAGGGAAAAGCTAAGAAGTCATCTAGAACGTTCTCAGCCATGATTCTTCCCGCCGCTGAACTGGGCCTGTATGATGATCAGACGATCATCATACTGATCTACGCCACAAGGAACGACCGGTGTCAGCAACAGTTACGTCAGCAGAGATCGCCATGCAGCCTGATGTGTCTACACCGATATCCGACGATCTTCCTGAGGGGCCCGTCGCTAACATCGCAGAGAGGGCATCGACTACATCGTCGCAGTCCGTCCCAGACGACATGATGCGGCAAATCATGAAGATGATGGAGGACCGTTACAGACTGCAACCAGCCCAGAAGAGCCTTTGCGAAGGCTCCAACGCAGACGACTTCCCAGAGGGACACCCTGTCAACGTAGAGGCCACGACCAAGCCACCTTCACGAAGGAAGTCACAGTCCACCTCAACGAAGGACCCAGATGTACAGCCTGCACGAAGGGTTTCAAGATCATCACCTTCCCCGGACTCTGATGATCATCACTCACATAAAGATTCCAGAAGGAAGACTACGTCATCCTTGGATTCAGACTCGGACCCCCAGACTTCACGAAGGCCTTCGCAAAGGTCAAGCCGTCACTCCCCAGAACCGGACACAGTTAAAGCTTCGCGAAGGGCTTCACGAAGGGCACCAGTAGCAGGTTCTAAATCATCTTCGCCCAGACGGTCATCTGCGGATTCCACAAGGGGCTGGGTTATCAGCATTCTCCTCACAGATCTCCGCCGCTAAGGTCAACCTTTACACGCAGCTCGTCAGGCCGTTCACCAAGACCATACCGATCACCTCGCCGTTTACCTCACTGATCTCCTCGTAGATCACCTCGCAGATCACCACGTCGATCTCCACGCAGGTCTCCACACAGAAGTCCCAAGTCAGGTCTCCTTTATCGTCACCCTGTACAGCGATAGAACCATATAGACCACCATCACAAGAGCATCAACCTCTTATCGGCGATCCCGTTACAGAAGATGATGGAGGCATCATTTTCTCAGACTCTGAGATACGTTATTGGATGGTAAACAACCTAGACCTTTCTTCACCTTCCAAGAGTGATAACTCGGCGCATACTTATCTGATGAAGGAGGACGATGCTGATGCCATCACCTTACCTCCGATCGACCCGATTGCTGCGGTGCCAAAGAATTTGGACACAGCCTTCCACAAAGCCACTAAAGTCCAAACAGCACACTTACCGCAGTTCCACGCTGACAAGTTCTCAACCCACAATATGGAACCGTTCCTCAAGGCACAAGACATTGATGATAACTACAAGCTGATCAACGATGTCAAGAATAAGAACTATAAGATTGACGATCGCAAGCTGGTTCGTTAGAAACCATGACTAGGCGAATGTTCTTTGGCCTTAATAGATCTAGAACGATCAATGAGACTCTTATCACCAGATTTCGAGACACGACATCTGAAGATGGTAGGATGATTTACTCGGCCCTACTTATGCAGAAGAAGGACCAGCAGTTCCTAACGGATCATCTCACATCAGTCTCAGCAGCTTTAACCTTAGCCTGTCTCCAAGGCCTCCTCGCTTCCTGCAACTGGGGTGAGCAGTTTACAGCTCCACTCTATACAGCCCCGTGGTCTGCTCTATCCATCTTCGACGGAGGAATAGACAAAGTCTCCAAGGAAGTCACTAAGGGTTCCAGAGAAGTCCTTATGATTAAGTCGATGGACACGCTAGCCAGCGTCATCAGACAGACTTCACAAAGATATTCAGGGAAATCTAAATTCACTGGATTACAGAAAGCACGGGATAGGAAGATGGCCAGCTCCAGGGAAAAAGATTCTTTTCGTCGCCCATTTGGCAACTACAGAGGAGGATCAGGAAGAGGCAGGGCACCCAGAGGTTCCCGCAACTATAAACGTTGAAAGTCAGGTTCGGAACGACTGGAGTCTTCCACTCCCAGCCATTCCAGTACAACCGTCACAAGTGGGTGGACGCCTTCAACTACACAGGTCTCTCGTACCACCATATCTATATGGATAAGAACTGTCATACTTCGCGCCTACAAGGCTGCAGGACTGGACCCTCCAAGAGCTGCTAATCCTCATGAGATCAGAGCCTTAGCTTCCACGCTCGCGTTACATGGTAACTGTTCACTAAACACCATCATGGAGGGCTGTTTTTGGAAATCCGACATGGTGTTTGCTAATCACTATCTGAGAGATATCACCACCGAGGACATCTCAGGTATTCACCATTTCGGTCCTATGGTCCTCGCACAGCAGTTGACAGTCCCTCGTAGACGATAAGACATAGTCTTACGAGATTATTATGTATAATCATACCTGTATTATCTAGCTTAAAACTCTACGGAGTTGTTAGGGCTATTGATATACCTAGCTTAAGTCTACCTAGCCTTAAGCCCAGTACTGATGTTTATGTACATTTGCATAACTTCTCCATGTTGGAGTCGTTTTTTATACCTTTATTGCCATGTTCATAGTATATTATTATGGTAATACCCCTTCTATGGCAGTGTATAAACTTATGGTTTATAGTAACAGGAATGATCCTAATTCAGTGCCATTATAAGTTCCCGTTAGGGGTTATTACAGATATATATATATAAATCACTAATTAATTTTATAAATCCAAAGTATTCTGTTCTGTCCCACCGATTCGTCGGATACTACAAGCACAAAGAGCATGAGTCAGATAAGGAAAAATATGTAATTTTTTGAGTAAAATTGATATTTTATACTTATCCTGACTCATGAGGTAAGTCTTCCTCCCATCCTCCCCACATAACACTTTGGATTTCCCTGTAAATTCAAGTGTTGGGCTCGCAAAATCAGGAGAGAGTGAAGCATGAGGCCAGAGGGTGGCGTCACCTTTTCCGCGCAGAGGCAAAGGGAGGCAACTCGTGGTGAGTATTAATTAGTGATTCTACATTGAAGGGAGCTTCAATTAGGGAGATACAAGTGTTCCACTATGTTCGCAAGAAGAAGAAGACAAGCAAAAGAACATGAGTCAGGATAAGTATAAAATATCAATTTTACTAAAAAAATTACATATTTGAGTGTTGTATAACGATACACTAATGATTATCTTAATTCTGTGGGAGCGGTGGGGTAGCCTAATGGTTAAAGCGTTGGCTCGTCACGCCGAAGACCCAGGTTCGAATCCCCATGGGTACAATATTGAGCCCATTTTTGTCCTTGCGTGATGTTGCTGAATATTGCTAAAAGCGCGTGAAACCAAACTCAGTCTGTCAGTCTTAATTCTGTGAGTGAGTGAGTTTTGTTTTACCGCTTTTAGCAATATTCCAGCAATATCCTTGGCAGAGACATCAAGAAATGGGCTTCAAGCACATTGTACCCTATTGGAGAATCGAACTCCGTCCTAACAAACGCTTTAACCACAAGCCTACCCTACCCAGTTCTATGACGAATGGCATGGTTATGATTGAATCTAACGAGAGCGTTGACTGATGTTATGAGCAAAGTGAGTGAATGAGTAAGGTTTTCGCCGCTTTAGCAATATTCCAGCAATATCATGGCGAGGGACACCAGAAATGGGCATCACATCGTTGTACCTATATTGGGTCTTCGGCGTGGATCGAACACACGACTAACCACTGGGTTACCCTACTCCTTATACACCCTTCGGTATTCTGCTTTATTGATTTTTATGAATAATTCATACTATTCACTATGGTAATTTATTATCGATAATATATTATCACTGTACATACGTCAGGGATATCAATGTACATGTGTAAGAGATACATTGAAACAGTAGCATTGGTCATCAATGCATACATGTACAATGAGAAAACACGTTGAATATATGTGTTTTTCAGGATACTTACAGACCACGTAAACAGCTGAATATCGAAGAGTGAGTATTTCTTTTCTTTGCATATGATTGAAACGTGGACATTTTGGAGCTTTTACCAAAAATCACAATACAATGATTCATTTGAGAAAATAATGAAAAATTATTCCTTTCCAATAAATTTAGTACATTTTCATCCTATTCTGTATCATTTCAGGCATGAAACTCCTGTGCTAAGCTTTAAGAGCGACTTGCGATAGCTCCAGTAACAACATACAGTTTGAACTTGGTAACGCACGAATGATTATAAGTGATTGAATGTGTGAACCCGGAGGTTGACCCGGAGCCAACATGTAAACCACTGGGCTACCCACAAAAAGTCTTAATTGTATTAGAACTCTTGTATTATATATATTATTTTATTTATCATTATCCCCCGCCGATTTGTCTTTTCCGGAGCAGAACTTTAAAAAGTTCAATATTTCTTCCCCAAACTTGGCAGAAAGATAGGTCTGGTGGTGAACAGCTGCCTTTTGATAGTTTTGGATTTCAGATTGTAATCATTTTTGCGTTTCGATGGACTCTGCATTATAGTCACTTGGTTGACACATATCATTGTATCCCAATTATAAAGGTCGATGCTCATACTGTTGATCACTGGATTATCTGGTCCAGGTTCTATTATTTACAGCCCACTGGCATATAGCAGAAATATTGCTAAATATGGCATAAAACTAAACTCACTCACTGCTATATACACACCCAAAAAAATCACATATTCATCAAGAGTATTTTGCCATTGCTGGGGATATTGATGACTTTGTCTTCTTGTTATTAATCATATGGATCAAATGGATGTAAATGGATAGGAGCTTGTTTTCTCTCACCACAGCTGTTCTCCGTGTGTTTCCTGGTTATCTTCGGTCACACCTTACTGTTTGAAATGAATGAAGAATTTTCAGTTCTTGAAGGCATATTGGCCTGGTGGTGGTTCACGTTTGTTTGGGAGGAGATCAGACAGGTCAGTATGAGATTTGATGTACACTTTCTGTCATTAAAACTGATCTAAATAAGAGCGAAAATAGTCCGTCTCTTTTAGGAACATCTACTAACAGCAGAGGCCATTATACGATTCCAGTTATACCATATGTCTTCGACTAACTGACTGCAACTCACAATTTGCACGTGCATGTTCATACACCACCCGCAGTACGGATTTCAAACCTTGTGGGATACAATCGAATTTACCCTTTTTCCTAAGATTTCAAAGAGCTCCATACGTTCCATATGTTCAATTGTTGTGTGATCGAAGTTACAGCACTGATGGCCTAAGTAAAGCTTTCAAAACGTTTCTGCAATTCCTCATCTTCACTTGTATCAGATGTTGCCCTGGTTAATCAGGCGAACAATTGACTTGTTTCTGCATGTGTTTGAATCCCGGTGCGTCAGGATGCGTTGACCATTTCGCGTTTGACTGTAATTCATAAACATCGAAAGAAACAAGAAAGTTGGAATGTTAAAGGCGACTGTTTTGTTCACAGATATTTCGCATTATCAAGGAAAGGGTTTTCTCGCTTTTCCTAGTGGAGAGAAGTATACTCTTCAAATAAAGTAAGGATTGGAATTATAAGCGTTAACATTTATTTCAAAGACAGAGATCTTATGAACGCACCGCCATTTCTCTTGAACACCATCGTTAAACACATGTTGCACGTGCACAACACGGTATTCCCATACGGCGCATAGGGTGTCATTCTTGATCTTGACGGTTTTCAAGAAGGTCAATAAATGTTAATGTATCAGGTTTAATTCCAGATTGTGGAAAGCAAGCCGGCTGAACAGTGCAAGTGTTGCAGGGACAAATGCCAGTGTTGCTGCTCGTGGAAGCTCTGCTCGTTACTGAAGACGTATTTCTTTGATAACTACTGGAATATACTGGACTGTGTTTCTCTTGGGTTCTTCCTGGTGGGTGCTATTCTGATGACCATCGTCCATCTGGACACCACTAGGAGTGATGTGTATGAAGCTGCGAGAGTGATACTGAGTCTGGACATCATGTTCTTTACCTGGAGAATGCTTCAACATCTGGCCATATTCAGCATCATGGGTCCTGTTCTTGAAATGATCTTCCAAATGGTTGGTAGACTTTGACCATAAAATTGAAACAAGATAATAATGATCAAATATCTGTTGATATTCATGCCACTTAGGGGTGAGAACTAGATTTTAGTATGTTTCAGAAATCGGTTGGAATATTAAGAAGTCTTTATTTACACATTATGTTTCGAGAGTACAAAATTAAGTAAAGACATTGAGCTAGGAATGTAGCTTTTTTCAATCTAATAAACACTTGAGGGTTCCTCAGGATAGATAGCACCCCAGATAGCATTGATATGTTGGCCCATTGTTGACCCATAATCACCGGTTTAGTTGGCCCATGGTTGTCAAACTGACGATGGGCCCACTTGGATATGCTCATCGGCTCCACGGTGGCCCATCATGTTGGCTCATTGCTGGGCCAACAAATGAAAATTCACACTAAACGGTGGCCCATACTTGGCCCAACGTAGTGATTTTGTTGGCCTTATGTTGGCACTATCGTGTTTCAACATTTAGCACTTTCTTGACCTTTGTACCAAACCATGGCCCATATTTGGCCCAACGGTGTGATTTAGTTGGTCTTATGTTGGCACAACGGTATTTCAACATTTAGCTCTTTCCTGACCTCTGCAATCAGAAACATATATAAACAACACAACAAGTTAATCAAGTGAACTATTTAAAAAAAATTCATTGTTATTTGAACAATATTGTATTTCCCGAAAATATGCTTGCCTTAGGTCTTTCGGCTGCTGACAGGTTTTTCCAAACTGCTCTTGAAAAAAACAACCAAAAATTTCATGAAACTGTGAGATATCATAATTTTAGAAATTATATCTATCGTCAAAGGACATAGTATTGACGTTAAGTTTTCATTTGAAAATGAAACATACAACTTTATGATTAACAACAACATGTAATTGAATACCAACTGGTACATAATTGGGAAAGGACAGATGGGAACTGGTGATGAAGCCAGTAAACAATACTGGCCCTGATATGCCAACTTATTACAACTTAATCCCCCTTTGTGTATTGGCTTCATCCCCAGTTCCATTTGTTGCTCTTAGTTCCCATCTGGCCTCTCCCAATTATGCACCAGTTGTTATTCAATTACATGTTGTTGTTAATGTTAATCTGCTATTTGCCAAAACATACTATGCATATATACTTCTTGTCATTTGGTTAAAGTCACTTTGAGCTTGTTAATGGTGTAAGAATCTATACTGAGAGGCGTTAAAAACGCATATTGGACTTTCTACTCTAAGTCCGTTGTAGAGATGTTGATGTTTCCAAAACTACAATATGGTGAAAACATATGGTTAAGAAATGCACAGCTCTGATGTTTAGGTTCGAATCCCCGGTTTCAAATCACAGGGACGTGACATCTCAAACGCACCTGAGTGAGTGAGTGAGTGAGTGAGTGAGTGAGTTAAGATTTAAAGTCACATCGGCAATATTTCAGCCATATCGTGACTAAAACTAGTTCTAAATTTGTAATACATACATATAATATATAAAACCCTGTCAACGAAGAACAGTAAAACCACTAGATTATCACAGATTGAGTTAAAACTAGCTAACATATATCTTTAAAAGTAGAACATTATTTCTGGACAATACAATGTAAAATTGGGCTATAGATCGCCAACAACTGAAGGTAGATCACCATACTAGGGACCATGGGGACTTACAGTACCTTTGCTACCAACCGCACCCAAGAGCATATGCGATGACAATGCAGTTGGAGGAACAGAAAACCATGGTGCACGTGCAATGTGCACACTCAACTCCCATAAAAGCACAGGTTGAGAAATGGCTTTCATTCACATTCACGATGCCATGGTTGACCAACGCCCAAAGGAACCAAGCAGTTTGAATGCTGCATGCTGGCCAAACACAGAGAGATGCTGCTAATCACTTCCACGTCCTCCAGTCGACCATTTCGAGGCTACAGCAACGACATAGGGCAACAGGAAGTGTCCAAGACCATCCTCGCCCGAGCGCCGTGTGACGCCACAAAGGCAAGATCGGGTACATCGTCGTTAGTCATCTTCGAATCGCTTCAGGTCTGCACGAGACTGCAAATGCCACGTTAGGAAGCAGAGGACGTTCCATCAGTGACCGGACAATGCGTCACATCCGATGTCGCTTAATTCCTATCGTGGACAGATCCTCACCCATACACACGCCAAATCGCCAACGTTGGGCAGCTGCTGGAGGCTATCTTGGTGCTAGACAGTGGCGCAGTATCATCTGCACAGATGAATCACATTTCAACGCCAGTTTCCCTGATGGTCGGCTACGTGTCTATCGCCGTAATCATGAACGCTTTTGCGTCAGCCTTTGTGTCATTGAGCGTGATCGCTTTGGTGGTGGTGGAGTTATGGTATGGGTGCATTTAACGTCAACTTCCGCGCCTGACTTGGTTGTTCTTCAAGGGAACCTCAACGCCCGACGTTTACATTGACAACGTGTTGCAACCAGTGCTTCTGCCATTGATGGGTCGACATCGCCTCGTCTTCCAACAAGACAATGCCAGGCCACATACGGCTAGGGTAACACAGGACTTTTTGCATCAGAACAATGTGGATGTCTTGAACTGGCCCTCGCGATCACCTGATTTTAATCTGATGGAACATTTGTGGGATGAACTTGGGCGCCATGTGAGACGTCAGTTGAATCCTCCCCAAACTGTGACTGAGTTGACACAAGCTTTGCAGTTTCACTGGAGAGCCGTTCCACAAGCTTTGATTCGGAGATTGTGCTTGTCAATGCTTGGCAGACTCTGGGCTTGCTTGGCTGCCCATGGAGGACACACACGGTATTGAAATGTGTCATCTGACAGTTGTGAGTAGTATATACAATAGCGGTACGAGATCAATTCCAACAAAAGACTCTGTAAAGCTTCATTTATGAAATAAAGCTTTTGTCAGGCCCTTATCTCTCTCCGCTATTTTATATACCACTCTTTGATTCCCCAGTTAACTTCCTGGTCACTATGGCGAACCAACACTTTCCTGATCACGTGATGCTAATGTGATCACCTTATGTCGTGTTGACCTCGAGGAAACAGTTTAATGTGAATCGCCTATGAGCTCTTTGGTCTTCGTGATGAAGGCTTGCCGGGTTTGTTGTATGCCTTGTTCTATGTACTTTTTTTTCTCGGTTTCGCTGACAGCAGTCTTACGAGACTTGGACCGAATCTCTTGTTTCATTCTGTGATATTTTGCGAGTTCAGAGAGGACCAAACAAAACTCCTCCTCGGAGACTTTACTGTCAGTGAGTGCCATGGAGATATGGTCACTTACTGTGTTCAGCTTTGCTTCAGCCAGGACCTTGATCTCGTCGTGCTTCAACGCTTTATGATGCAGTCTGCGGGATGCAAACTTAAACACCAACCCCATCAACCCTGACACCCCAGCTGTTATCTCTTTGCCCAGCACTATGGGTGCGGTTAAGATGGTGGTCAACAAACCAACACCTTCTGCCCCTAATCCCATGCTGGTTGTCATAAGGGCGGTATCGGCCCCGTCCACGACATTGAAAGCTCTATGGTACTTCTTGCATAACGCTGCCCGTCTGTCGCGGTCTTGCTTTAGTCTGCGTTTTATGTCATGTAACTGCCTCAAACAGAACCCGTCTACGGTTTCAGGTGTCTTCCCTACTTCTTCTACGACTGGGTACAGCCCCATCCTGTGCGTATAATATATACTTCAAGATATTTTTTAATTGGTCTCCATTTAATAGGCGATCAATGTACTTGAGGCTTGTAAGGCCTAGTGCCTTGTGTAGGTGCAAAAAGGAAAGGTCAATAGGTAACTTTTGTTCTATACTAACTTGATCGGAGCTTGTTTAGGGGGGCAGCAACCCCAGTGAGGGGTCCGAGCTCCGTCGTATGATGATACGACAATGGTAGTTCAAAAATATATGTGTATGTGGCCAATTTATTTCCACCCCAGGTAAAAGGCGCCAGGGTGGCCCCTCCCACTTCACCTCATACAGGGGGGCTGATAAAAAGACTTCTATGATGAGTGTGGAGCCTGGGGACATAATCGTAGAATATGGTAGGCCAGCGTATAAGTTGCATCCCTAAATGTGCATCCCTAAATGGTGCATATAACATGTAGCCCGTGGGACATTGTGTTTGTTCAACTGTTATATCCTGACCCGCGGTGAAACTCACGAGCAGGATACCGTTGTTCTTAATTTCGGTGATATGGCCATCCTTAGTCAAAGAGACGTAAGGTGCGGTGAGGGTTATATTGATCAACCATTAGGGTTCTTTTAAGTCTGCCACACACACGCGCCTATAAACGTTGTCTTTCAAGTGTAGGGCGTACAAGGCGTCTTCCTCGCCGGGCAGATCGAACCCCTCCGTGTCTCCTAGGTTGTTAATTTTGACGTTGCGGCGATGACTGGTCATTGCCAGTTCAGAGAGGACCAAATGAAACTCCTCCTCGGAGACTTTACTGTCAGTGAGTGCCGTGGAGATATGGTCACTTACCGTGTTCAGCTTTGCTTCAGCCAGGACCTTGATCTCGTCGTTGTTCTTAATTTCGGTGATATGGCCATCCTTGGTCAAAGAGACTTTCCAACTGTTTTTCTGATAACTTCTCAGGGGTGCACTTCACCCCCATGAGGTGTATGTTGTCGGGTAGGAATATCTTGGTGAGTGATATCGTGTCTTCCACGGTCACGGTAACCCCCTGCAGACTGGTGTGGAAGTTGACACCCACCCGCACGTAAACAGTGCAAACGTGATACTGGTGTTGTTTCACCCACCGGAGTTTGATCCCCTTCACGACTTCGACTTCGGGCTGTGGTTCACCTAGGTAGACTTGGATGGCCAGCGTGGAGTTCACTGGTAGACTCCCCAGGATGTTGACCACGCCTTCGGAATTCAGACACCACCACCAATGCCACATTTTGCCCGGGCTTACGATAGCATGTGGGCTGCCATACTTTTCGAGTGGGCTGATGACTACCGCCACGTCTCTGCGCCTGGGCGTAAGCCCACGAGCAGGGTTCTGTTG